CAATTTTCCCAGTTTTGGGACAAGGGAATCGCTAACCCGCCCGTTAGGTGGGACAATGTTATAACTAAAAATGGTCATTATATTGCTGACTAATATTGCTGCATTGTTTGCTGATTGTAAAATAAAACAGGAAAAACATTTCAACCCTATCGGGATTTGAACCAGTGATCATGCGCAATGCGTGTGTGATAGTGATAGTGACAGTACTCCATCTCTTACGGTAATAAATATGAAACTGTCCGTCAAAGGCTATTACATTTATGGCTCGTTCGAAGAAAAGTTTGAAATTGATTTGTAGTTTAGGCCAGCATTTTCATGAATGCAGTGGGTGGCTCTGGGCTCATAGTGGAATGGGGACAAGCGTTTCACCAGCAGAACCTTTCCCGGGATTGTGCCAGTAGTGAAGCCATAACCTACTTTTTTATTGACTTTAGGAGATCTTGAGCAACCGATTAAGAATGCTTCGAGTTTGTCGTTGATGTTTCACCTGACTGTACCTGTTCGAGCTCACCCTGCATGCATCAGAATAAACAAATGAATAAAGTAAACTATTACCTTCACCCGTTTTGATCTATTTGGGATCTTTAGAACTATGTTAATAAAGTATTCACCTGCCAGAAACCACCATGTATAAGAATCACCAGATGGTTTTTCACCGGTCCCCAAATATCCACCCTCGCTAAGTCGCTGAATCCTGAAAGCTTCTGTGTGATTTCTACAAATTTCTTCTTCCTCACTATACAAAATTGTCTGACCTGGGCTTTGCCGATCCTGGTAGGGTAAATCCTCAATGTGAGGTGAAATTCGAAGTTTTTTACATGTTTCTAGACCTATACGAACATACTCATCAAGAACCTGGAAAAAGGTAAACCTGATTCAAAAGCCTGGAAGGGAATAGTAACGAGGGTGCTGGGAAGTATATCATCACACTAGTTGATATAGAGAGAAATACGAGGACTATAGGAGAGTAAGGAGTTAGCTAAACCTGATACCTCGTTGGCATCTCGACCGGCCCATTTACTGCAGGAGTAAAGACGCGTGAGTTCCGGATTCAGGTCCATTTACCAACTACCTCGACCTATGGGTACTCAACTTCGGAAGCAACAAAGGCTGTCGATGAAATCCAGAAAGTATCTATCTGAAAACTTTATTTTAGATAGAAGTCATAGAAATTGGCCAAGTACCGACAAGCTCTTCCGCATGGAAAGCACACAAGAGAAATTCATGCTGGTTGTTTGTGACTTAATATAAATTCACGATTTCGACCTAAAAACAGTAGTGGTGCTCAAAAAACTCTGAAGCTTTCATCAAACAGGCAACGAAATCCAAGAGAGAACGGCAAAGATGGGTGCGCCATCATGACTGGGGACGTGTCGCCTTACGTGACATAGTGTAAGCTTTGATAGTGAGAACCAATGCCCCTGATGTCAGGACCGTTAAACAGCCACACATACTCTGAAGTTTTCAAAGATGAACAGCCGCTCGATGTTGGTGGAATTGGCGTGACAAGCATGTTAGGATATCAACTAGTTCGAAGCTCGTTGATTTGAGTTGAAACCAGTAAAGAGTAGGTTTACGTGAAATGTTATTGGTGACAGTCCATAAGTTTAAAGTCCACGAAGACGAACTTATCGAAACGATAGCCACAGTGAATGTTCCACCAGTAAAAAACCTGCCCAGCATAGAAACTCTGATCAATTATAAGATAGCAAATGTTCAGATTTCAAGAAAGAAAGGCTGCCAGGAAGTCATTGGGTTGGTGCATATATTGCGGATTTTTTTCAGCAAATTTTATTTGAAGA